TAACTGGCATTTGTAGTTAGCAGAAAACACTAACAATTAAGATATTTGAAGTTTGAAACTGTCTAATCGGATGTTTTGCAAACGGATTACAACTTCTCATATAAATTTTTATCCATCTCTCTTCTTCCAAAGTTCGTTTATTGAACGGATATAATTAACCAATATTTTAGTACACAAAAATAGTCTGACTAGCACCAGGCAACGGTCAGAAACATGTGTTTGGTCGCGTCGTAAATGCGTGTGTCGGCACTTTTCTCAACTCTGGCTAAAGATAGCTGGGGCACCCTGAAAACGGGACCACCATTTATGTATTAATTGCGTTATTAGAAAACAAATTCTGAATGGCTAGCTGAATTTTGAAAGTATGTACGCAAACGGTCCAGCAAAAGTGGGGAGTCCTTCGAACTACTGGACCCAAACGTCTTCGAAGTGCATGCCATCGCTGACTGCGTTGCCATGCATTTTTGATGCATTTAAAAAAGCGTCAGACTCTCGGATTCCGATAGTAAAACAGGCCAAGGCAGGCAGCACATCTAGTGGCCTATCTATGGATAAAAATCTCATCTGCTCATGCATTAAGACCTTAAAACCGTCCTTATAGCGTACCCTAGATGGCATTCCTACCACCATACTAAATGTTTATGGTAGTATATATTTGCACCATTACTGACTACAATATATAACAGCTGTCTGAACTCTTTCAGATTTCTCAGCATGTGGAAAACTGCACGTGCTTTTCAAATATTTAGGTCGGGCTGCAAAACTGATGTTTCTAATTATCGCTCGATTTCGCTACTGTGTGCCACATAAAAATTTTTTGAGCTGGCTCTTCACAATTACATGTATATGTTAGCATGAATAATTTATTTTTTCTAATCAACACGGGTTTATCCTTGGCCTCTAAACTACCACAAATCTTGTTAATTTCATGACGCAAATCTCTTCTCCTATTTCTCAGAGAGAACAGGTTTGTAGTCTATTGAGACCTGAGCAAGGCTTTCGACGTAGTCAGCTGCTCATTACTTTTGTTGAATCTTACAAACGTAGATGTTGAATTGTCTGTTATAGATTGCCTGCACAGCTATCAGCATAAAAGATAATGTTAAGTAGCCGTAAATGGCCAATTGCCTTTCTTGTACAAAGTGACTTACAAAGTCCCACAAGGGTCGGTTTGAGGCCCACTGTTATTTTTATTTACCTTAACGACGTTTCTTTTGCAATTAGTTATTCTTCTTTTCTTGTCTATGCTAATGACATCAACATCTTTAAGGAAATTCATTCAGTGAACGACTTTCATTCGCTTCAGCCAGATTTGTGTTCTTTCTCTGAATAGTGGAATGACAGTAACATTGTCTGATTACCTCAAAGACCGAATTCATCAGTATATCTCGCAAAACATTCACCGTGTCATTTCCATACTCTGTCAATACCATGTCCTTATGTAAGGTATATGAATTCAGCGATCTTGGTGATATTTTTGACAGCCTGCTAAAGTTTTCTCCTCATACTAAACGCGCTGTCATGTGTGGCCTTCGTTCTCTAGGCTGCTGTTTGTAGAATCTCTCGAGAATTGAGTTCTCCTACAGCCTTCCACAAATTGTGCACCACAATATGTCTTTCTCAACTTGAATATGCATTTGTGATCTGGAATGATATTGCTAACATTGGCAGAGATGCCATTCAGTGAGTCCAGAAAAAAATTATAAGCATTTACAATAATCGTTTCTCAAGAAATGACTCAGGATCCAGTTTCAGCGTGCACTGCCAGATTGTTATTATTGGCATCTCATTGCCATCACTGCACTGCCGACGAAATAGCGCTGACCTATTATTTCTTATTAAACTAATTCATGGAATGATATTCTGCCCTTTACTTCTCAGTTGAGTAAATTTTTCAATTCCGCCTAATTTATACAGAGAGAATCGACCATGTCATGTACATGCCAACTTCTTTCAACACTCTACTGTTCACAACACTCTACTGTTCAAAAAAAAACAAACCCTCTATAAAGTTAACTTTCATGATCTTGATGTTTTTCACAGTCCATCGTCATTGTTTTTTCTCAGCTCGGCACTGTCTTAAAATAGTTTTTCACAACGTACAATTCATCTCTTTTCCATCTATCATGAAGCTTTCTACATATTCGTGTATATCGCCCTTTATTTTTCACTCCCTTTCCATGATCCTCATCTTGTATTTTTATTCTTCCCATTTCGTCCTGTTTTTTCCTGTGTTTTGATCCTTTATTTATATTTTTCCGAGTGTTTTCTGTATTGTATTGTTGTTTGTGTTGTTTTATTTTCGCATGTGCCATCACAAAGACCTCACTGTTATTCCAGGGCACGTTAAATAATTTATTGATTGATTGAGTGAGTGTTTCACTGATTGTTAAAGAATATCTAGACACTTGAGTTCTCCCGAACCTTTCGTCAAACAATACGCAAACAATGCGTCAAACAATACGGTCTTTCAGAACATGAATATGCGTGATTAGGAATAGAATCTCCGACTGTCCCGAAAAATTTCCTAAGCATTTACAACCATCATCTAGAAATGTTTAGGGTATCGTTATAACACTGTCAAGTTATGAAACAGCGCTGACCTTCTATTGTTCATGGTGTAAGGAGGAAGAAGAACAATGTGCCGAAGAGAGCCACCTTTTTAGCCCGAAGAGCCGAGCGTAAGCTGTTGTGACCTGCCCTGTGACATTCGCGCATGCCGGTTGTCACCACCCGCTTTCAGCGTCCATCACCAATAAATCCCGTACCATATCTTGCCCTCAACTGCTGAGTTGTATTAATTTTAGGATTGCTTGCAAGATGACTTAGGTGCGCTGGTATTCAGTGAGGATGCAAAACATCAACTGTTGAGACAGTCGAAAGAGGAATTAAGCGACATACACGTCCTAAAGGCCAGTGAAATGCAGAGTATGGCGCTTTTAACATGACAAAAGAAAATAATAGGTACAGACTATAGAGCAAATATGCTACAGATCGTACCCCCTTCCTCGATTCTGGCCCGTCACACGCATATATGAAAGTTCTTGCCCGATGTGCGACCGAATGAGCGAAGAGGCGCTAATTTATTCGGTTCGGGTGCAGCGCTCAGGCATACAAAAAAAATTGCCGTGCGGTGGCCTTTTCTCGAATATGTCTATTGAGCCCGCCGTGAACAAAATGCTTGCCAGGAAGGTTTGTTGGTGCCGTACAGTTATCCTCTTCTGTAAATTCTGTAATGACATTTGCCCCTCACAACCCATGAACAAAGATGGTGCCAATTCACGTCCAATTTCCCCCAGAATAATGTTCCTCGGGCCCAACCACCTGTCGTGTCAACTATACAACTTGGAGATATATTCCAAGAAAAGAGTATAAAAGCTCCCTTGCATCTCCCGGCATCCCCCTTTCTGCCTGCTGAGTGTGCTGTCAGCTGTCGCTAGTGTGGAAACACGAGTTATCCGCCTTCCTATTCTTCGCGAAGCTTTTATATCCGCATGGCGCTTCAAGAAACGTGTCCGAAAATACCCACAATAAGGGTTCTGCGACACCTTTACTCGCCGCCTAGGGCATTATTTATGGCAGTAGTTAAAGATAAATATATATTTATTTATTCATTTATTTCATCAGATAAGGCAGGTGCTCAGTTAACACAGGAGGATGAAAGTCCCCCCTGCGAACAGCGCATCGGCGCTTTGGGAATTCCAAAAACCCGCCACTAGTGAAATGCCGACTAGTTTCGCTTTCACTGCTGAATGCGAAACCGAAAACCCCAGCACTCTTCAATGACTTCCCAAATGTACGAGCGTCTGTGCATAAACAATGCATCAACAGCTGACTTTGAATGTAAGCGGGAGGCAATCGCCATAAAAACACGCATGGCACATGCAGGTACCGAATGCAGAACTCCCCCACTGCCATCATTCTCGCAAACAAGCAGTGATGTCTGTCGTCTGCTTGAAAATGCCGCTGCGCTAATCAGCGATAGAGCTTTTCGCTGCAGTTTGATCAACCTTCTAGTTTCGTGAGAAAAAAATCATACGTCTTGCAGCGTCGGGAAAATTTATCCCAGGTTCGTCAGACGCCGTCGAAGTCCAAGGAACGCGATCATGCTCTTGCCAACTGTCACCACAACGCCTTTTAAACCACAGAAACGAAACCACCATAACATGGTCAAGTGATGTTAGGCAACATTTTTGTCGTCAACTTATGTAAAAAAAACATACTAGGGACCTAAACTTTGCAGGTTTAAGACATTAATTTCTGCTAAGCAATGACGCCCATACAATATCATCACCGAACGCGTTAATAGCAATGTGGACAAACTTCGATGTTTTGTTGTTGCCAGATTTTCTTGTTCACAAAATACGAACAACTGGAAAATTCAATCAATTGTTACTGCTGTATTACTACTGCAATAAAACATTTCTAACGTATATTTTGTAATTCATTATCACACAAATGTTTTGTTGTTGTCAATGTTGCCTGGTTTTAATGAGTGACATTAGACATGGTTGCGTGATTACCAAACAAAATGAATAAATAGTCAGTTTTGTTGTTATTGTTTAAAGTTGTATGCAACGAAGACAAATTTTTTTTTCAAGCCTTTCAGTGCACGCCGGTGTGTTCGTTGTTATATTTTTATAAACCAACGCCTCCTAGATTTCCTGTGCCTGCTGGATTATCGGCGATCACTTGGGAAGCGGCGGTCGTCGGAACTACGGTGGTGGCGCTACTCAAGTAGGGGGTGTCTTCAAAAAAATTTTTACGTTTTTGGAGCTTATATGCAACAAAAACGTTTTTAAAAGACGTAAACGTAATCATAGTTAACCCTACGTAAGTGAAACTGTCATTCAAAAAGCAACTTTTTCAATACAAGCATCCTCTAAAATGAGTAACAAACGCCAAAATTGCCAATCTCAAAGGCCAAGTATAAAGACCCTTACACCTACGTAGGCAGCGCCGCTGTAGATGAGCGGTGTTTCGCGCTCATACACAGGAAATCTAGGAGGCGTTGGTAGTACACGCGACGCGCCTGTTCCAAAATGCGCTAGTCTGAAACTTCCCAAACGGAAATATCACTTCGTACGGTTTTCTTGCGAACTCCATGCTTGTCAAGTTCTATTTGCGTTAGTTCTGCAAGTCATCTGTCCGGTATGTACACTTTGCGAAGCACGGTGAAAGTCGTTTGCGAGTCGCGGCCTTCCGTAAACGATAGTTATAGCGCGAAAACAAAACGACGGCACAGAGACAAGAAAGACACGAATCACGCCTTGTTGTCTCTGTGTCGTCGTTTTGTTCTCGCGCTATAACTATCGTCATGCCATACCAACTAGCCCAAGCTGCCACACTTCTTCCGTAAACGTTTATTACTTTTAAAACGTGTTTTCCAAAGACCTTCACTAATTGCGGTTCTCCGGCGTCTACTCCTAGCAAGACGCCAATGAATTCTCATCTAGAAAACCGCCACCACTGTGCCTTGCCTCAGTTCTAGGACTCCAATCCGGCCTGTAGGGTTTTTCCCACCCCTAGATGAGTAACTTTTACCGCATATCTGCTGCTATCGTTTTGCAGCCTATGAAAAAAAGAAAAAAAACTGGCAAACGGATGTGTACTATGTTCATGTTAATATAGACAAATGCTAGACATTTATGCATATTACAAGACAATTATGGTTACAATGCGATTTCGTTTCTCTCGGAGAAAACTTTCTACAGATTCGTTTTTTTTTTTCTTTGTAAGATTAGTAGCGCCCGCGTACATTTATAACTGAACATTAATATGAAGACATTTAAAACGCTGCAAATGCAGAATTTTTCGCACTAAACTGCATCGAAAAGGGACAGTGATTACTCGAAAAGGAACACTTTCCGACTTGGGAAAACATTTTTATTGTTTTTTTTAGTTTAGATATCAGAGTTAACATTCGAACAGTAGTTCCATCCACTATCTATTAGCTGATAATGGTCACATCGGATCGGAGGCTACCAGATTGCAATGCGAGGTCAACAACACGAAGCACAAGAATTAACGCAGCATCTCAGTTTGTTTTTTTTAAACCTAATTGAAATTGATTCCACATGTGCAGGTTTGTCCTACATTATGTAGCTGTGCTGAGACTATCACAAGTTTGTGTTTAAACCATAGGTGTACGCAGGGTTCCCCTTCAAGGGGGGAAAGGGGCGAAGTTGGTCGCAGTGCCCTCGGGGTCCCCTCCGAGGGTGTCTATGCCGCTATGGAGTCGGTCGCTCACGCAAACTTCAAAATTAATTTAAACTACCTGCTATATTTCCTGTTGATATACGAATGTTCACGAGAATCGACCCCGCAGGCTATCTCGGCCCCGAAACTTTGTGTCAGTACCCGTTAAAGCCAGCCTTATGGCATTGATGCCTTGTGTAAGTTTAGCACACAAAACTGTACATGCAGCATGCCTGAAAGAAGTGTGGGGCAGGGAATAAGTCTGCTTTGTTTCTCTTGAGCTTCCTGTTCTCCTCTTTCTTTTTTTTTTTCAGTTTTTTCTGCCTTTATTTCCCCTCTATTTTTAAATCTATTTCTCTTACCCTTTATGTTTTTCTTCCTATTTCTTCCTTTTCTATTTCTGTTTCACACTTGCTTCATATTTTCATATTTCCTATTTTTGATATGGTTTTGCTTGCATTACACCAAGCGACGACCGCCCAGGCCCCTAAAGTGCTTCACACTAGAAAGCACCTTCGGGCTGCGTAATTTCGCGCTATCATGTACGGCAGCATGCCACGCGCATGTCAATTTTATAGTGATTCGCACGCTTTATCTCCTCGCGCATGTAAGTGTATGCATTACGCATGATCGAATGCTACATGTCCATTTATGTTCGAGCACTTGCTAGATTTTACGTGCCAGTATATATTTATCATTCTAAACGTCAACTAAAACGGTTCTGAAAGGCAGAAAGTTCTGCGATGCATCTGATGTTGAGAGCACGTTTATGCGACATCATTTGCGACGTCTACTTTTTGTCTAAGAGAGAAGTGCATACGATCTTGATAATACGTAGGCTCTCTAAACTGTAAAGATGGCACATTATGGGAATGTTGATTTGATGTTATCGATAGATGTAGACGTATGGATCTCATTTCTTTGTTGAACATTGAGTAAGGGGGGTAATTGGTGAAGTTTTACAGATCACACAAAATTAATTCACGTGTTACAAAGCGTATCAGCACAAAGAAAATATGACGCGGATTGCAATATAAGTTGAAGTTAACAGATATAGTGCTATAAATTATATAGCACTATATCAGTGGTTCATTGGGCTAATACGACACATTTCTAAAATTTTACTTTATTGCTTTTCTTGTGGAGATGCAGGGTAACTGTGAAGTAGTTTTTATTGTAGATGTTGGCTAAAGCTATTCACTTATGCTTCATATGTTTCTTGACGCCTGCTGGTATCTCTGTTGACGACTGCTGGTAACTCTGTTGAGTCGAACACCGTTAAATTTTGTAGTATATGCAAGCAGCAGATTTTTGAATTTCAGTGATCCCTTGCAGAGAACCCTTTTCAGAAGCAAGCTTCGCCTTTTGACTGTTTTTTTTATTTTGTTTGACATTAACTTTGCAAATATTTGGAACAGGATGAGAAGGAACTTTTTTTTCTTGTGTATATATTACTGTTATCTTGTTTTTCTAGCTCACTGGTACACCTCAGTACGTGGCATGCAGAGTCACAATAAGTCTTTATTATGAATCTCCTCAATCTTTAATCAAATCAATTGTGCTGAGGTCGCATCTCCAGTAACTCTCCTTTAGGTTATTTATTGCATGGATCCTTTTTAACCTCATCAATAGCTACCTGTGGAACTGCATTGTTCCAATCAACTTGGATTTCAATCAAGATTGGATGATGATCCTTCTCAAGTTTTAAAATGAATCTGTACAACACAGTTTTTTGTTGTTGACAAGCTTTGATAGTTCAAAAACTTATGTTCAGCCTAATGGTGTAACATATGCCTTCGCCTTCTGTCGTTTTTTTTTATAGAGTACCTTCTGTTTTTAAGAGATGTTGCTCAATTCTTGTTTTGTGTTTTACCTTCCATTTCACTTTCTGCTTCCAAAATCGGTTTGATAATGTTCTCCTCATTTCTTTCATACTTCCGTCTTGTTTGAAAGGACTGTTTGTGTCTTTGAGAGCATTCCTAAATTTGCTTTGTTTTACCCTCACTGTATCTGTGTTAACCTGTTTCATAGTAAATTTTTTTGCATGTTTTCTTAAGGTCATCCTCACTAAACTGTGATCACAATGCTTCATCATGCCGATTACTCTTTTGTTCTGCACGATGCCTGGGCATGGTCGTCACACATAGTTAAATGTGTTTTATTTTTCGCTTTTATATTAAGACTTGTCCATGTCCACTTTCGATTTCTGTAATTCCTCAAAAAGGTATTCATTAGATACAAAGTACCGCTTATTTCGGCATCTCTCCTGTTTTATTTTAGCATTTCTCCTGCTATTGATACCAACATTACCAACTGCTTGTTCTTCTTCCCCTTGTCTTCATACTGTTCCATTCAAGTCTTCAATGACTGTGGCACATTGGGCTTGTGCCTTTTTCATTGCCAATAGAAAATTCTCATGAACTGGTCTACATCTATGGCTGCATACACCTGTACTTGCATTCATGCATGCCTAATTTAGAGGGGCCCTGAAGATTAAGCTTACTGATGTTCAATTTCCTGTTAACAGCCCTAGGTTTTTTAATTCCTTGACCTCAGGCGAACATGATAATCACTGCATATTGTAATTCATTGAGGGTCTTTCTCTCTGTTGTTTTATTTGCAGTATCAAAGTGCGAACAGTGCCTTGTCGTATCAAAAAGAACTGTATTTGTGAAGACGTTATTTGCTTTCAGTACAAGCTAGGCATTCAAGTTGTGCGGTGGAGCCCATGCTGTCCCACTTTATGAGCAGAAGTCTTGGGCTGCTGGTCCATAGACGGGAATGAGTGAGTGAAACGAGTTCTAACGGTTTTTGGAAAAACATGCTTTTTATATCTACCACTGTCCTCTCACAGTGCTCTTGGTAAAGTGTAGTAATGCATCATGAATATTACATCCACAATTACTTCCTTCAGCACGAAATTTTTATGTGTCCGTCCCATATGGCGCGTTTCCAATACGAGAATTGCCATTCTGTCAACGCCCTGACAATTTGGTCCAGAATAGATGAGATTGAACTCACGTGGACAGGTATTGAAAAAAAAATATAGAGTTAATAATTTATTGGTCTTTGCCTTTATTAAATTGGCATAGAGATCTACAGAATCACATTAATTGGAGTCATGTCCAATTTGAACAAGTTCCTTTAGAAGAAATATTGCTGCAGTTAAGAAACAGAACTAACATATTTGATTATTGTGCTGTTTTATAAAAACTTGTAATTGTGCCAAGTTTTATTTGCTCTAATTCTATAGAAGTTATTTACTCTATTTACCCAATTAATAGAGAAATTGCACAATATGCTAAATTAAAAAATGTCCCATTTCAATGTGGAAAGATTTCTGGTTCAATACTCTAGCTGGAAATGGTCCTTTTTTTCCTCTAACAGGCCCAAATGGGAAAATTTGTTGAGATTGTGCTCGGTTAGAAACCTTATTCAAAAGATACAGGACTACTGACTGAATTGATTCTAGGCATGTTGGGAATAATTGTTTCATAATTCACCTTCAAATTTTGGTGCAAAGAATTTGTGTTATATTGTGTGTATCTATCAATGCATGAAAAACCAACTTCCACCTTCCTTAGGCATCACTGTCTAGGCCAGTGCAGCCGTTGCCACGTCTGTGTAGAGCAGGCAAGCAGCCGATTTTTGCTCTGTGGGGCAAAACCTTGAGGCAGTATCAGGCTCTGATGTGGTAAGCCTCGCAACTAGGACACGAACGCTCCTGGTACATCCACGAGTGTTGAAGATTGGGCGAGTTGGTTCGTCGTACTTGAACTGGTATAGCGCATTACAGGGAAGAAGAAACGGCCGAGCAGACCGACACAAGAGGACAGAGCGCTAACTTGCAACTGAGCTTTATTGTCAAACTGCATCAAATATGCAGACCGGCGCTAGCATACAAAACCGTATGCCGTAGAAGTTGTTGCCGTAGAAGTTACTACCGTAAAACCGTTGAAGCCGTAGAAGCTGTTACCGTAAAACCGTAGAAGTTGTTACAGTGTGTTGACGATGCCATTGACTCATTTGGTGCTGTAGCCTTCCAGAATCTCACGGGTGTCCATAACAGTAACCTCTTAGAGCTTCTCTCCTTTTACATCAAGTCGACTTTTGTATCTTTTAATGATCGTAAATACATACAGAATAGTGGTGTCTGCATCGGGTCATGCCTCGCCCCGATCCTTAGTGACATATACCTTGCATATCATGACCGGTTGCTGATGAGCATGCTGGACCAAAATATTGTCACCAAAATATGTCGTTACGTAGACAACTTTTCAATTTTCATTGACTGCAGCGACGCTGCTTGCCAGCACCTAACCGACGGTATTGTAATGACTTTTAAAGAATGTTTTAAACCGCTTTTATTGACTCATGAGTTTCCAGTTGACAATAGCTTACGCTTTTTAGATTTGAATTTAATTCTTTCACCTGACCATGTGTGCTGGCTATTCGAACCTAGAAATGGAAAACCCCTTTTACCCTATGACTCTTCCCATTCCAAGTTGGTTAAGCGCAGCATCACAAATCTTTCTCTCATCAATCCTCTTCGGAAATCGTGTCATCATGTCATGCAGCGCAGCTTTGCTGCTCAAGCTGAAAGGCTTTTGAGTGCTGGGTACCCAGCTATCCTACTGTCATCTATAGCTGAAAAGCTATTAAAACAGATAAAGAAAGGATGCAACTCCGAGGCTCAGCCGGAATCTAACGACCGAAAAAGACCCGTAGTTTTACCCTACGTGCATGACATTTCCCACCGGCTAAAAAAGATAGGGGAGAAATGCAGCGTCAAAGTGGTGTTTTCAGCGCCGGATAAGTTACAGCAGCTTTGCAAAGCTGTCAACCCTCTCAAGACACGTACCACTGGTTGCGCAACTAAGCACGAAACTCGGTTTGTGCCGTGTGTAGTGGGGGTTGTTTACGCGATTCCATTCTCATGTGGTATGTGGTATTTCGGCCAAACGGGGCGATGCCTTAATGAAAGGCTAAAAGAGCACCATTATAATGCTCGCAAAGCAATCCACGGCCACATTGGAATTCACTGCCGCGATTGTGGATGTACCCCCATGTTTGATCAATGTGAAGTGATAAAAAAGCACCCGTCACAATTAACTCGAGAAATTATAGAAGCGCATTGTATAGCAAGAGCTGGCAGCACGTGTATTAGCGCCCCTTCTTTGGTTTTATCTGAACATGAAGTGGCCTTCTTTAATCAGGATAACCGCCTATGAATCTGTGATGTGTGACGGTGTGATGTTGTGTGTTATCTTGTCATTGCGTTAGGGTGGTTTTGTATGCTTGTGCCGGTCTACATATTTGATGCAGTTTGACAATAAAGCTCAGTTGGAAGTTAGCGCTCCATCCTCTTGTGTCGGTCTGCTCGGCCGTTTCTTCTTCCCCGTAATGCACTATACCAGTTCAAGTCCTGGTACATCACTTTAGAGCCAGAAACTGTATCAAGTTTTCGCACCACAGAACAAAAACGGGCTATTGGCATGCTCTACATAGACGTGGACTGCGGCTGTACATAAAGCTTCCGCACAAGCTAAAAAGCTTGCAAGTATTTGTGTGCCCCCAGGTATTTTTATACATCGCAAATATTTTGCAAGCGCTTTCACTCCACAAATGACATGAGTGCAATTTACAGCAGGGCATTTGCATTGATGCTGAAGTCATCAGTTTATAAAATTGTGTGTGCATTTCAATGAAGTTAGGGAAGGGGCTCTAACGGGCAACACTGTATGAAATTAGTGGTTAGGCATGGATATCATGGTACGCATAATTTATCAAGAGATGACAGATGCAATTTCCTTGCTTACACGTACAGTCGGTTAAAACAATGAAACTCTACATAGTCCCTTTAGTAAATTCAAATATATAGCACCCACCCGTCTGCTTGCATAGGGAATCAAAATGAGTGTGAACTGAAGTGTGAATTTTTAGCTCTTGACTGCCTTTAAGAAAATACAAAAATGCGTATGACCACACAAATTCGGTCAGTTTCACGTAAATTTAGCTGGATACAGCAGGCTTAATTTCTTGATAGTATAGCGCAATTGCAAGTGTGATTGCCAAATTGCATCCACAATTTGATATCAAAAGTGAAGGCAGATTCACATTCTGCAGTAACTATCCTGGCATACAGAAGTCATTCGTCTTCTTGAGTTTGTAGTACACAAACAAATTTTACAAAGTAATTTAACGGTTTTACTGAAATTCTCCTTGCTCAAATACTACTACTGCAATCCCGGAGGCACATAATGAGCTAATGACAAGATTGACAAAATGCAGGTTTAAATTGAAGTTCGATAAGGTACAGAAGCAGCACTTGCACATTTACACGCCAGCTGAGTAGGCACAGTTTGAGAGAAGGGCAGCACTTGAGCATCAAGGTTCTTCTCATGGCGTATTTTTTTATGCACAAAGAACAATGTTTTATTCAGTCGCGCCAACAAAACTACTTTTACAGAACTCACGTGACCTCTTCATCTATTGTGCAAACTTGTACAATTGTTGACTCGTGAAACATTTACCAATACATTTTAGATACTTATAAATCTAAATAAAAAACACCTCATGCTTATGTGTTTTTCTTTTTTCAAAATTGGCTGCCTACTGAATGATTTCATTAGTTCGTTCTCCTTGATTCCACTTTATATATATCAAGGGAACAGCAGGATTATATCAGATAGTTTACAGTGGTAGCCTCCAGATTGATCGTCACAATATTATGTCCAGTGGTCTTTCAACTGAATGTGCTTTATGCATTCACTCAAAACCTAACAATTCTACTCCCCCTTCCCCCCTTGAACACATGCATGCATGTTCGCTGCGCTGCATCAACATCCTCTTGCGTGTCTGTTGATATGTTGCCGTTAATCGTAAAAGTTTTCGTAGATCAGTTATACACTGAAACCTCGATATAACAAACCCAGATATAACTAATAATATTTATGACGAAATAAATAAAGAACAGTTCTGCAATAGTTATAGTGCTAGCTAGAGTATACTTTTATAACAAGCCTTCTTTAATCAGGATAACCGCCTATGAATCTGTGATGTGTGACGGTGTGATGTTGTGTGTTATCTTGTCATTGCGTTAGGGTGGTTTTGTATGCTTGTGCCGGTACATATTTGATGCAGTTTGACAATAAAGCTCAGTTGGAAGTTAGCGCTCCATCCTCTTGTGTCGGTCTGCTCGGCCGTTTCTTCTTCCCCGTAATGCACTATACCAGTTCAAGTCCTGGTACATCACTTTAGAGCCAGAAACTGTATCAAGTTTTCGCACCACAGAACAAAAACGGGCTATTGGCATGCTCTACATAGACGTGACTGCGGCTGTACATAAAGCTTCCGCACAAGCTAAAAAGCTTGCAAGTATTTGTGTGCCCCCAGGTATTTTTATACATCGCAAATATTTTGCAAGCGCTTTCACTCCACAAATGACATGAGTGCAATTTACAGCAGGGCATTTGCATTGATGCTGAAGTCATCAGTTTATAGAATTGTGTGTGCATTTTAATGAAGTTAGGGAAGGGGCTCTAACGGGCAACACTGTATGAAATTAGTGGTTAGGCATGGATATCATGGTACGCATAATTTATCAAGAGATGGCAGATGCAATTTCCTTGCTTACACGTACAGTCGGTTAAAACAATGAAACTCTACATAGTCCCTTTAGTAAATTCAAATATATAGCACCCACCCGTCTGCTTGCATAGGGAATCAAAATGAGTTGGAACTGAAGCATGAATTTTTAGCTCTTGACTGCCTTTAAGAAAATAC